TTGACTATACTATTGTTAAGTATATGAAATATAGTTTATAATAAGTACACTCTAAGTGCACTGCCTGATTTTAACAATGAAATTAGTGCACATTTAGTATACTTTAATAAACTCCTTTTTGCTAAGGGTAATCAGTTTAACACTAAAGATATTGATTCGAAGTTCTATTTCAAGCCAGAATTTATGTCAGGGAAATATGGGTGACACTTCACTTAAAAGAGTAAAATACCATTTTTAATCTTGTATTCAAGTAATAATTCAGCATTTATGCGTTTTCATTAAAGAAAAAAAATTATATAGCCTATATAATTTTTGCCATTATAGTAATCAAACACATGTGATGACTGGCGTTTTGGATGCTTGTATTTGATCATTTATCTTTGGCTTCAATATGTCTGGGGTTGTGGGGTCTGTTTCAGTTTTTTTTTTTTTTTGTTGTTGTTGTTGTTTAGTTAGTTTTTTTTGTTTGTTTTTTTTGCCAGCAGAGGTCGCTGTTTGATTGTCATGTACAGACACCTGCAGAGTCTCCTCTCAACCCCTGGTGTATATTAGGTGCTGGCTGCCAGTTTCTCATCCCCATGAGTTCTACCCATGTGGTATATATATCCCCTCAGATCTTCCTGTTTATTTTTGATGCTTCTTATTTAGATGAAGCGCTTCACTGAATGGTACCTTTGCTTTCTTTTCTTTTTTTATTGTGCAAGCAGAGGTCGCTGTTTCTTTGTCATGTACAGACACCTGCAGATTCTCCTCTCATCCCCTGGAGTATACTAGGTGCTGGCTGCCAGTTTTTCATCCCCATGAGTTCTACCCATGTGGTACCCTCAGATCTTCCTGTTTATTTTTGATGCTTCTTATTCAGATGAAGCGCTTAACTGAATGGTACCTTTGCTTTCTTTCTTTCTTTCGTTCTTTCTTTCTTTTTCTTTTTTTCAAGGCTACCAGAGAAGTATCCACTGTCCTCACCAATACCCTATTGGATCTCTCCAACAAGAACAACATCCCTGCCACAACATTCTGGATTAAAACATCTCACGGCTCCATTTATTATCAGTTCTCCCTGTGCACCCTCCAACACACTCATTCCTTCATTCAGAACTCATTTCAGTTTTACCCTATCCTCTTCTCGTCTGCACGCTTCTGCAACCAGTGTGGTTTCTTTAACCTTCACCTTCTCACATGGCCTTTAAATTGAATAGACTCTACTATATAAAAAAAAAATGTATATATATATATATATATATATATATATATATATATATATATATATATATATATATATATATATATATATATA